AGCACTTTTCAACAATAAATATGCACAACAGAATTGTTGGCTTTACCCCTTGGTTACATACAAAAACAAATTGTTTTATCATTACATTCCTCTATAAAATTTTGCTCCTAGATCATGGAAACGCCAACATCACATGAAAACATGCACGATTCTTAGATGTGCAGAGGGTAAATGTTTTTTTTCATCTTTAAGGTAGGTGCGTACGTCGACAAATGGCAACGCTTCTAAAATAGGATAAATCCCTGTTCAAAGTTTATGTTGAAACGGAACTCCATTTAGTAGGTTAGTTCACCAGAAGCCACAGATGATTTTCATTTTTAAATTGATTTACTACAAAAGTCCACCTATTCTCTCATAAGGGACAATCAAGTATTCGCCATACCTAGTCAAGAAAAAAGTGTCTAATGTGAAGGATATAAATCGCAGTGGGAATACAAGATGGCACCTGAAGGAAGCAAAATGCTTAGTTGAAGATCAGATGTCATCAAAATTCGTAATCTAAATGTAATGTCTTTTGTCCCTGTAGATTCGATTTCGATAAATTGAGTGCATTACACGTCTAGCGGGTAAACTTAGAAACTTTCCTGCTCTGGAATATTACTACATCATAACTTTGTGTTCGGTTGCACTTGACAACTAAAACTATAACTTCACGACACTTATTAGCAACCTAGTTCAAGAATACAATTTGTCCGGCACTACTGAGAGCAAAGAAAAGGTACCGATTGAAAAAGGCTTTGTTTCTGTAGGCGTACTAGACTAAATTTGTATCCTTGTTGTAACTTATGTTTTCCAAATCGAATTGGTTAGCAAGCTAACGAAATCATCGCAATCATTTTCTCTCGCATAATGCATGTTACTGCCTCTTTGATCACGTCTACAAAGAAAATTTTGTAACCTTTGTTTAAGAACACCATTAAGGTTCTCAGTCTCTTGAACAAAATACCTTCTTATCACCAAATAGGCTTTCTATATGCGTGGCATAAGACCACTTTCTTCTTTCTCACTTCCCTGCAGTTTCACCCCTCATGCATAAGTATTTGTTTCTTTGCTTTGGGATCGTCGTAGAAATTTAAAGGTCCCGCGAATTATCACTTCTTCTGTTCCAATCGATTAAATCATGCACATTTTCAAGTGAAACTTACGTCTGCTCCTATATGTTACAAATTAAGGAAAAGAACCTAAGAAGATCTCGGTCAAGTATTCGGTGAAACCATCTACTGAATGTCCTAAGATATGAATGCTCCACTTTCGGTTTACTACGTGAAAAGATCCAGATACTTCAAATTCAGCCTATTGGTGTGACTTCGTTCCTAAATTGGTTAGATAATCTAGATAACCTTACAATAAATAAACGGGAAAAATTGCGCATGTATTAATGGTAAGAAGAGAAATCTTCACTCTAAATTCTCGCAATACAAAATTGTAGTAACTGGCAACCTTCACACTTGAATATGGATGACCCTTGGCGTTGAAAACCAAATTCTTACCTTGACTATTGTTACGCAACGTGACTATTTAGGTAAACGCTCACCAGCTATTTTTTGGTAAGTACCTAACTATGCTTAGCTACGGTGCTAGAGGCATAGATTTTCTGTAGGATCAATTCTTTAAAGATTCCGTTGTTGTTTTGGCTTCTGTTTACGTATAAAGTTTGAAGTCTGGACTTGGATTAAATTAAGTCGTACATCATCAACGAAAGCGAAAAACTGAAACAATGCTTCACGACACAAATCCGAAGATCTACAACTATGCGCCCGCAAGCATTCACCTCGATTTCCCAACAGCACAAATAAAGCTAAGATAGAAAGAAGAAGCTTTATATTTTAATGCACACATTTTTGGAAAATCTATACCCTTTATTTGGTCTCACAATCAAGAAATAAATATGTGTACTGCATGTTTTCTGATTTTACGACATTCTGCTTCATGTGTCACGGCTTACCTGTTTATGGATGCCTCAAGGAACAAGAATAGTACATCACAACGTGCATTCGAAACTATTGTTGTGGTCAGAGAATTATAGTATCAGGAATACCCCTACGTTAACCCGTTGTTTTATTATGTTGAGTAATTTCAGGCGTAGTGGTTCTTAAGTATGTAAGATATCCAATCTGCTAAATTCTCAGTTACGAACTTTTTAACACATGTTTGATAAAGGATCTAATTGAAGTCCCGGTTTTCCATTAAAGTAAACTTACTTTGAGCCAGTTGCATATAAGGGAGTGTTAATTAGTCTCATAACTATCTAGATCCTAATTTGGTCGAAAGACTTGGATGCGCTATCTCATGAGGTACAAAAAAGCTGTGCTAAACTACCAATCCAATTAAGGTGCAACCTCGTTGATTATAACCAAGATATCTATGTGGTTAGTAATCGGCAAAAGTGGAAAGTTGACTTTTTTTGATTTGAAAATGTTAATGTTAACCTAAAGTTTGATTTTCGTAATGCTTTCAAGGCGAAGTGGTGTTATCTGTTTCACATTGGTCAACCTAGTAGATCAAATTAGGTAATATTGACTATTAAATTACAACTTTGACTTCCTCAGTTAGATAGCCATTCCCAATGTGGAAATAAAACTCTAAAAATCTTGATCTTTTCATTTATAGTGTGTTTCATAGTTAATATGCTTCGGTGACCTTGACTGTTTTAGATAGTTTAAATTTGAATCTAGTCTTCACCACAACTGAAGTTGGTTCATGGCACATTCTTCTCACCAACTCATGTTGTTCGTGTACGCAAACTACTTTGTAATCAGGACCTTGTACTGAATGATTTCCAGTTGCCCATAATCGAACAATAACTGTATTGTTGCCAACAGGAAAATATCGTCTAATGCATAGTTGCGAGTAAAGTTCGCTTGTGACTTCAAATGGTCGACTTCAACCGCTATCAGTTAGTTTGTTTCCAATGAGCGAGTTATGAATGCGTAAGTGTAACACAACCAATTGATTAACTGCCCTAGGAGGGGATAATCAGTGTCACTTGCACTACAGCTAGAAATCAACAATAGCCTACTTCTCTCCAAAGCACTACTGTAATCGAAGTTCCGTAGCTAAATTTCGGTTACGACACAGTGCGTCCTGAGTAGCAGCTTGGAACTGTTCCAATTTAGGCTTCCATCTTCATCGTTGTAACGTTGCTGTGCCATAAAAGAATTAGTTTTTGTAGCTGCTGGTGCAAAAGATGATGGTCCAGATGAAGATTTGCGGTGTTATGAATTGCTAGCAAAAGTTACTAAATCTCCAAGATGGTTACAAGCTCATTGCTTTTGCCAGGTCGAATTCTATCTTTGCTATGAGTAATCATCAATCTTAATGGTGACAACTGCAAGGTAAGGTTAATTACAATCAAGCTTGCAAGCTTTACAACAGCTTACTGCTTATGTTTGGAACAAGGGAAGAAAAAACATTCCTCCTTGAAATCATGATAAGAAGACGAAAAGGAAGCCATTGCAAATAGTGCGATCGAGACCTCTTGAACCAGTGAGTTATAGTCCAAATGCGAAACCAAGGTGGTATCAATCGAAATGCATTGTTTCAGTTCAAGCCCGAATTAAATCGTCAACGAAACGATGCAGAACCTCGTGGGGCAGATTGAGTAGGAATGCACTTTTTAGATGAGAATGTACTTCACATGGTTTCAGATACCGACTGCAAGACGGAAAATCTGAACTATTGGTGAAAAGGGACATTCACATTCTCTTCAGATTGAATTCATTTCACCCTCCTGAGGAATAATCGTCATATCCTATCATTGGCACGCTCCGGATTTGAAGATAGTTAAAGATAACCTGAGCTGAAGCAAGGATCCTTAACACTGCATAGAAAGTGGACCACATTTAAGGTTTTAATGTTCTTTCGTCACGAGCCGATGACAGCAGAACATAAGTTGGCATCAAATTATTGTAACGTCGATCCTATACTTATTGGGTTGTACATCTTGCATGCATATACCCCCAAAATGTATGCAAGATGTGCAATAGACATATGCACCCTGCACAACATCTCGTATTGTTAAGGAGACGACGTTCTCGAAGCCTGCGGATAACTCAAAGTATTACGAGACTATTTTACATTCCATATAGATAAATATTATTAAATTTTCTTGCCACGTACAAAAAATAATTATAATTGCAGGAATTATTACACAATCATTAAAAATCTGAGAAAGGGCCCAATTAAGCCTTCCGCTTTTCAACAGTTTGCGGTGTCTGTGCCTGAACCTGTACCGCGGCATAGGCTTATTCATGCTTAGGTGCTATGTAATTTTCGCTACCCTGATACAAATGCCAGTATAGATAACTTTTCATGCTCTTCTGTGCGTGGCTAGTACGTCACTTGCTCCACCTGGTGTACCATGCATTTTGGAGTGTGACGCATGCAAGTTACTAACTTGTGGCTATATGTGGCCTCTCAAACGTCCCTCCTGTCTACCATTATTTTATGGGCGGTAACCCCATCTTAATGAATATATAAGGCCATCTTCCTCCATTTTCTTTTATTCAAGATTGTTCATTTCCATTTTCCATTTTTACGTTTTCAAACCCCTCATATTTAATACATTATAAGTTACTACGGTAGCGTTTCGATATTATTTTATGTACGCTTACTGACGACTCATTTAACGCACATTAAATTTGTGGTTACGTAATTGCAACTAATACTTCCATTAGGCTTTCAATTTAATACCATTATTAAAGTTATTCAACATCTCTTTAACCATGGCGGAAAAGGACAAGGTTAAGTTGCCTTCAATTTCAGAACTTACATCATCTTCTATCTTGTCTTCACCTTCAACTTCGTCGCATCTGCTGTTTCAGCCTCCTATTACAAAATCCACCGACCTGGGTCAGGGCCCTAGACTTATGCCTATGATGGACTTTAAGTCAAGATTAGCTACTCCATTGAGGCTTACAACACCTTCTAACTACGTTCTTGGTGGTGGTTCAGTTCCGTGCCCCCAGTCCTCAGTTGCATCAATAAGTAACCACACAACAATGTCAGTTGCAACACCTCCAGTTCCAGCTTCTAATGGACCTAATGGTGCAGCTTCTTCTACATCCGCTGCAGTTTCAGGACCTTCTTCTGGCTCTTCAAACAGACCAACATCTCCATTGATGCCATACTATGAACAACCGGGATACCGCACCCCATACAACGGCACCCCATATAATGGCTACAGTTCCCCCTCAGTCCCAGCGATCAATACAGTTCAGCAAGTCGGTGCTTATTCTTATTACCAGCCTGTCTACTATATGTCTTCAGGAGCAAACCAATCCCCCACAACACCGGCAATAGGACCACAATTGCCTTTACCGCAGAATCAAATGAATGTTGCACCAGGCCAACCAGCTATAGGCATTAATGGTGGACCAGTTCCAACTCAAGCTTGTGTACCTGTGGGGTCAACTAGGTTCACAGTTCCTCCGGAAGTTATTGACAAACCCGCCAACAAATGCCACCGTTGTGGTACTACAGAGACACCAGAATGGAGAAGAGGTCCAAACGGAGTTCGTACATTATGTAATGCATGTGGTTTATTTCATGCCAAGTTAGTGAAACGTAAAGGTGCTGTTATTGCTGCGGAAGAAGTTCTCAACAATAAAGTCACTAAAGGAAAGAACGGAAGACGGATATCCATCCAAAAGCATTTGCAGAATGAGTCTGTAGAAAAGGAAGTCAGACGCAACCGTCATCAAAAGGAACAACAACAGATGGAAGTTCAAGCATTACCACCACAGCATCTTTCTCATTCTGCACCAGCTCCTGGTTCCCTCCAAGGGCACATACATCATACACCAATGCAATACCTGGCTATCCCTCAACAGATGCCACCTCAACCATCAGCGACACATGTACAAATGAGATTATCAGGACCCCAAGCATCGCAAGGAATGGTTATTCCTCAACCACATGGACTACCTCCTCCTTTACTGACCCCACTGTATCAGTATGCATCTTCAATTCCTGTTCCTATGGTGCCCCATTAAATTAGACGCCATTTGCATATTTCCAATATATTGAAAAGTCCTCAAATCATTAGTTTATGCTTATTTTTTATTATTGCATGCCACTGCTGCTGCTTCTACTACTATGACTATCACTACTACATATTTTAGTTGATTTTGTTTTAATTCAGTATTGACTGTTATGGAACTTTCCCAGCGCCCCTCTACAGCTGGCTGTTGTTGCTGGCCCAGATCCCAGTATCAGTTTTCACTTATTTGTATTTTTTTGGGTCATTATATTTCTTTGCTTATTTGTTTATTATCTTGATTGCTTTAGTATTAGGTTCTTTAAGTTGTTAGCATTCTGTTTTTGGGTGTATATATTATTTAAAATCTGCGATAGATGTTCAATTCTAAACCTATTTGGTATGGTGAACTTGACAATATATATTATTCGTAAATCATATTTGGTTATGCACAGCCTCGTGTTTCCTTCGTGTTCTGCGTGAGATAATTTGGAATGCACATAAAAGCAGTGAAACCCTCATATTTCTTGATCTGATTTTCCCCACATCTACATTCACTGCATTAAGCAGGGGTTTTGGACCTATGGTGCAATAGAGTGCCTGATAGGGGGGCCTTGGATGAAACTCCACATTTTACTAATCATGAAGCTCCTCAATAGGACCTCTGAATTTGGTATTTATCGTAATCTGGTGCATCGTTTTTAACTCGTTGGATTCTTGCGTATACCGTTAAAGGTTGCATGCCTTTCGACGTACATATGAATCAAGTTGTTTCAAGTGTCCCAAATGGGTGAGATCGACGGAATAGGTACAATTAGGGTGGTAGAGACATTACCTACTTGCTTAATTTTGTATTGATTCATATGTCTAAGAATGGTTTACATCTAAACAAGTTCTAGCATACATAAACCTAATGCACATCTAAGCAAGAGATCATGATCTAGAAATCAACTATGCATCAAACTTCCGTCACGCAAGGGCAATTTACTTTTGATTCAAGCCGTATTTAACCGCCTCAAGTACATCATCATGTACTCCAGCAGAAGGCAGCGCTACGAGAGACCCCAAAGGTTCATTATTGTACACTCCTGTTCTAACCAACATGGACTCCCATCCATTGTCATTAGCTCCTTTAATATCCGATGCTGGGTTGTCTCCTACCATGTAGATGCGGTTAAATTGTAAATTAGTAGGGTTGTTAATTTCTTGAGCAAATGCGCCTGAAGAGTGAACGTGGCCATTTCCATGTTTACTGGTTAATTCAACATGCCATTTGGCTAAAGCCTTTTTGGCATAGTCATATTGAATAGCGTACGGTTTCCCCAAGATCAAAGAATCCATTTCTGAGCAATTGTTGATTTTCTTGTACAAGGATTCCACAACCATTCTGAAAGCACCCTGGCCAAATCTGGGGATGGGATAGTCGTTGGCCCAAATGAAATCATCATTGCTGAAAATAATGGGGATCAGGGGAGTTGATCTATGAACGGTTGGTACTTTCCTTTGTGTGCCGATCAAACCACCAGCCGAGTTAAGAAGGTCAAGTGTTACTTGAATATCAGTTCCCATATCTCTGGGATCATTAAACACCGCAATTGCTTCAATTGGCTTCAGTAAGTCCACCTCCCTGGTATATTTGCTCAATTGTTCTACTGTGTATCTGTGATGGGGGGAAACAGATGGGTTTTGTTTCACTATATCCATAGGTATTATCACATCTTGAAATCCATATTCAAGTGCACACTTCCTGGCTTCATCATTAACACCTCCAACAACAAGAATACGATCATAAGCGTGCTTTTCTCCCAAGATCTGTAAAGGTGTATGACTTTGAACAAGCTGATTGGCAGAAAGCTCTACTCCAAGTTTATCAGAGAGAAACTCGGCCCTCTTCTTCTCTGTGACTCCTCCACCATTTGTCAAAAGCAAAAATGGCACCTTCTCTTTATTAAGCAACTCTAAGGCCGTTTTGGCTTGCGGAATTGGTTTATTTCCTCGAATCAATACTCCATCAATGTCAAATACAAATGCGCTTTTACTGGCACTGGTACTCAATAAACGAATACCTCTAAGGAGCATGTTCCAATAATTGCTGATTGCCTTGGCTGTATTAAGAAATTAGAGTGTTGTGTTCTTACTAATCAATGGTAATCAAAGAAAACGTGGAGCGTCAACATAAACAATCCATACAAATCGTTATCAGTACTTTGAGATCGTTACCCGGATCAACACCTTTGGTAGCACAAAACTCATATGACTCATGAGTCATATCAAATGTACATCTACTCTATTATTATCTTATCATGATTAATATTACGATTAATATTCCCATTCCTGTCGTTAAAACTATTTACAACGTCTCCAACCTTTTCATCTAGAAATGAACATTATTAGCTAAAGACCCAAGAGTGTCGAAATAACCCTCCTCTATTGTCCACTCTGAACCTGAATGTTCCCTAAGAACACCACAAGCATTACCAGTAATCAATAATCCTGGAGGTCTTGATCCACATGCCTGAACTGCATCTGCTACCTTAGCCAACGACGTGCGTATCACACGTTGGTCAGGACACAGAGCTCTTTCCACAATACAACATGGTAATTGGGGAGCCCATCCTGCTTCATCTATCATTTTAGGTATTAATTCCACAATTCTATGCAATGCCATGAGAAATACTGTTGTTCTTTTAGGATTAAACGCTGGTAAATCCGGTAAAGCTCCCTTTCTTCCTGTACCCGTGCACACTAAAACTTGGTCAGCTACATCACGTTGGGTCATTGGTACATGACTAAGCACTGGAGCAGCAAGGGCTGATGATATACCTGGTATCACTCTGGGGGTGAATCCATGCAGCTCAAAGAATAGAAATTCCTCTCCACCTCTTCCAAAAATGTAAGGATCACCTTGCTTCAATCTCACCACATTGTCACCACGTAAAACTGCTTCTAAACCCAAAGCTAAAAGTTCTTCTTGAGCCCTTTCCGCATTTCCAGGGAACTTCTTTGCGATGAAAAGTTGAGTGCGGTGTTTGGGGATCAAATCTAATACTGCCTGAGGTACAAGCTTATCAGCCAATACCAAATCAGCATTTTGAATAGCATGTAGAGCACCAATTGTTAATAATGATACCGAACCAGGCCCAGCCCCTATAAGCGATATTGAGCCCTTTGGCCTTTTGTCCTCTTCTGTTTCCACTTGTGCAGGTTCAGCTTGAGGTTCTGGGGTTGGTGATCTTATTGAATATTCATGAGATAATTCTTCCATGTTTAGTGTTGCTAACTTTTCAAGAGGATAGTATTCCACGATTTGAGATAACCAACGAGATCTTCTTAGTTTCTTCTCTTCTGCTGTCATCAGGAATTCTTTCACTAAAGAGTTTAATTTTGAAGTGTTCACTGCATCATCATCATTTTCACCGATCTCGCTATCTTTTGAGTCGTCTAATTTATCTTCTAACTTTATAAGCTTCCTTAACTCTCCAACATTAGAACAGATCTTATCAATGTTTGTAGGTACATGTTGAGAGAGTTCTCTTCTTAAACGAGCTGCCAATTTGCATCCCTTCCCATTGGTAGTGACACCTAATTGGAAGTCACCGCTAGTATAAGTGGACATCAAAGTAAATGTACTTAATTGAGAGTTATCACTAGTATTTATTGGGATTCTAAGTCTTCTGCATTCGGTAAAAATGGTCTGTTGTAACTCTTTGTCATTGATGTTAACAAACACCTTATCCACCACATGGTTAGTTTCTTTCCTTCCAACTGTGGTTAAGACTTCTTTGGTAAATTCCTGTTTAAGAAGACGGATTTTATTGTTCTCAACATATTCTCGAAGTGCCGGACTAATATCATGATCATTGGTTATTAGCACTATGGGAAGAGCACCGGCTTCAAGGATTGTACGGATGCGAAAGGCTGACATGGGTGAACTTCCCACAACCAAGTGAACCTCGTTCTCGCATTTTAATGTTGCTACTAAACCCACCATTCTAGTGCTTTATATTCATTCCGTAGGAACCAGAAGTTTGCTTCAGGTTTGCTTTGCGATTACAGTCTCTAAAAGCTATTATATAGTCCTTTACGTCGTATAGAGGTCCTCATCCATCACAGCATGTCACGTGCTCTAACAAACTAAAGTTTTAGTTAATTTAACAGACCAAAATCAGAATCACATTCGCATTAGTACTAGCAGTCGTGCGTTCACCGGAACCGATAACGAATGCGACTCCTTCATGGCCGCAAGAGAAATGGGGAAGGTACAAGCTGACCAAATGGTTGCTTACATATTATTGTTTTTAGCTGCGCGTCAGATCAATTCGTTCACTCGCTCGTTACCCCTTGGTGATCAAATAATATACGAGGCTTGTAGACTTTACGGAGTGCAAACAACATGAATCTTAGATTTCATTCTTACACCCATAGAAATGGGGTATTATCACATTGAACATCATTATCTTACTCGCAATATCTTCCACAGTTTCAGTCATGCCTCACAATATGTATGAGTATGGGAATTATGACGTTTTGGTACCGTGACATCTTTTTTACTGCACGAGAATTTAACATGATTTGTCGGCGAATTTCAGATCTGAGTTGTACAAGGTTTTGAATCTCAGCTTGTTCTATCTTGGCGTATATTCTACACTGTCTGCGTTAACTTGATTAACTCTTTTCATAGAATCACCTAAACTTGATTGTATAAATGCTATAGCTGCAACTGGCGTTTGCCTGTCCCTTTTTTTACCCTATACACAACGTCATCCATCAGATCATACACAACCCCGCTGATCTCAGTTATTTTAACGACGAATAAAAAAAAACAATTGGATCACGTGATCCTGAAAGTAATCCTTGACGTCATGATCTTTCTTTATCTCAATATAAAAAAAACAATTAAGTTGTCTTTTTGATCAGCATATATTCCTTTCTTTATTAGGCTATTGATTTGTTTGGGCTCACCTCTGTGTTTTTGCTAGACGTTGATTGACTATTTACTGAGTTTATACTTGTTGGGAAATAGGCTATAGTCCCCTTTCCTCTTTAAAGTCAAGTACATTGCACACTTAATAGTTGTACTTTTGTTTACGGCATTAGACTTAAGACTTAAGTTATTCTATATACATTTACACTCATATAAATAAAATGGCTGTTGATACCCTGTCAGTGGCTGGGATAGTCTCTGGTAGGAATCCCGTGGAATATTCGGCCTCGTCGCCGTACACATTGTTCTTATTGCAAGCATTAATCATCTACGCGTTTTCTATGCTATTCAATTACCCATTGGGCTTGATTAAACAACCAAGAGTTATTGGAGAAGTCATAACAGGTATTGTACTAGGCCCTACAGTTATGGGTAGAATCCCTAATTTCACTTCACGCATATTCCCTGCCCTGAGTATACCTGGCTTGACTTTGGTAGCAAATATTGGGATCATTTTATTTATGTTTGTCATTGGTTTAGAAGTAGACTTGCTCTTTATGAAAAAAAATATGAGAGTTGCATTATCAGTGGGTTTGGCTAATACTCTTGTTCCATTTGGTCTTGGATGTGCTATTGCTGTGGGTTTGTTTGATCATTACCGTAAAAATGACCCCAACCTACCAGAAATCAAGTTTACAACTTATATGGTTTTTTGTGCAACAGCTATCTGTGTTACTGCATTGCCTGTACTAGCGAGAATTTTAAGAGAAATTGGATTATCAAAAGATAGGTGTGGAGTCATTGTGTTATCGGCCGGTATTTTTAATGATTTGGTAGGTTGGATACTTTTAGCGTTATCAATCACGCTTGCTAATGCAGACAAAGCGGTCAACACCGTATATATTATAATGTTGACTGTAGGATGGTTCATAGTGGTATTGTTTCCTGTGAAATGGATTTTACATTTGTACTTGAAACGCTGGACAAATGAGATTGAAGTTGGTCCAAGTCATGTCACAACCACTTTGATTCTTAGTACAGTGTTTACCAGTGCTTGGTTTACAGATATTATTGGTGTTCATGCTATTTTTGGGGCATTCATGGTTGGCTTAATTATTCCTCGTGAACTGGATTTCCATCACAAATTCATTGAAAAGATTGATCTGTTGGTGAGTGCTATTTTTATCCCACTTTACTTTGTTTTGGCTGGTCGTAATGTGAATTTAGGCACACTTGACAAAGGAATTGATTGGGCATATATCATTGGAATCATTGGGTTGGCTATGTTTGGGAAGATTATTGGTGGCTTACTAGCTGCAAGAATAAATGGTATTTTTTGGAGAGAATCCTTAGCAGTGGGTGTTTTAATGTCATGTAAAGGTATTGTCGAAATTGTTGTTTTGCAAGTGGGTTTGAATGCAAAAATTTTGAATCAAAAGACGTTCTCCATGTTTATTCTCATGGCCATTATTACAACATTTTTAACCACACCCTTAACGAAACTTGTGTATACAGAAAGTTATCGTCAGTATGTCAATCAACAATTGGCTGCTGAAAAACAAAAGGAACAACAATCAATAGATACTTCGGCGATTTCCAATACAAATAATTCAGGAATTGCAACACCTCCTGAAGACAATGATGATCATGTCGTTAGTGTTTCTCATGTTCTTGATGATGAGAACACGGATAGAGAAACTAACGGAAAGTCAGGTTGAGAATAGTTTACTATTTCTTTACTTTTTCAATGCTGAGTTACACTATAGCTCAAATAATTGTCGTGGATCGGCAATGTGTTATTTTTCACTTCTTTTTATAATCTGATGTTTTTAATGACGCCTACACTTGTATACTGTCTTCTTGAAGATACAAAAATATAAGAATGTAACAAAAAAAGGGGCAAGCCCGGAATCGAACCGGGGACCGCACCCACCCTAAGGGTGAATCATACCACTAGACCACGTGCCCACAAAAGAAGAAAACAAAGGGGCAAGCCCGGAATCGAACCGGGGACCGCACCCACCCTAAGGGTGAATCATACCACTAGACCACGTGCCCACTTGTCACGGGTGACTGCGTGCCTTTATTAGAAACGAAAAGTAAATTGACAAAATTGATCACGTGATGTATCCAGCACTTTGTTGATTGTATAACTTTCAGCTTGGTTATTAATATTGGTATATTAAGGTGATGCTTTACTTTTTCAATTTTATGAGGTATGATTTCGTACGAAATGAGCTCGTTTGCATTTGTGACAGAACGTGTAAGAGAATTTTGAAAAGTGGTCTGTTTTACCAAGATGCCCATCTCTCGAAAATTATGTAGCCACATCGCGAAATTAAGCAGATACTGTGAGTTCTACATGATTCCTACGAAGTAATAATCTGAGCCAGAATAGTTTGAAAAATGGCAAAAAGACAATTAGGCCTTGGTAAAAAGTCCAAGACGAACAAGAAGCAAAAAGTTGAAGATGAAGAAACTTCAGCCGCATCAACGAACGAATTAACTGTGGAACTTGACCATGAAGTTGATCCCAATGATGAATTCTCTCAATTGCATGGATTATGGGATACATATTTAGGAGGAGAAAGAGATAACGAATTGATCTTGAACGGTATTGTCAATGAATGTGACAGATTGTTGAGAAACTCAACTACTGACAAAATTACAGACAAATTCTATGCAATTTACGGGGTAGCTTTGAGCGAATTGGCTAAGTTTAAGACGGAGGAAGCGAAAGACGTAACTGCTTTCTTTAATGAACTGATTGACAGGTTAGATACTGGGTTAAAAAAGTTTCCACATTCACCTGAACTTTTATTTGCAAAGAGTAAAGTCTTGATTAATCAAGTTCCATTGCAATACATATCACAATTAGACTTAAACAGTAAGCATAAAGATATCAACGTCAAGGAATTGTTAGATAGAGTTTTACAAACATATAATGGTGCTGAATCTAAAGCTATTGAGCAGAAAAGGTTTCACTTGTTTAATTCTGAATCTTTTGAGATTCTTCAAGCTTTGGACGACACGCTTGAAATCATTGATAACTTTGGAAAGGATCATATTGAAGCTGATGATGACCGGGAAGATGAGGGTTTAGGAAAGAATTCTGATGATGATAATGATGAAAATGGCAATGAAATAAAGTTAGATGAAGACCATTCGTTGTACCAGATCCGTGAGTCTGATGAATACAACTTGTGGTGGAGAGAGAAAACTATTGTTTTTCTTAATCAAGTCAAGAAAGATAAAGCTGTTGATAAGGCTCTTGTGTTGGAGTTGAACAAACTCTTGGGACAGTCATATCTAAAGGAGAGTGAAGGAATCACCAGTATATATACAACATTGATGTACGATGATGACTTTGAAGGGGAAGAACTCGAGGGTTTTACCAAGCATGAGCTGCAGAAAATTGCTCAGGAATTAATTGGTAAGGCACTCAAATATTTGGAAGCTGCTGAAGATGATGACGACCCAGAAAGTTGGGTTTTGGTTTCAGAAGCAATGATATCGTTGGCTAATTGCTACGAGTTGGAAAGCGAGGACCAGGAATCGTTATACAAGAAAGCAGAGAAACGTTTAGAGAGAGCTAATAAGGCTACTCAAGGTAGATATCAAGAAGAATTGGACAATTTACTTCAAAATTAGTTACGGTAATAATAAAGACTATGATAAACAAAATAAAAAATATGTAGATACATAAATTCATACATACATACATATATATATGTGATTGAAATGAAACTCTATCAAAAAGTGACATAAAGAGTGGCATACTGATTATGTGAATCACTGAAAAAGAGCCTACTAGGAGATTTCACAACAGCATCTATATGGACCATTGAAAACACAAACAAACTGAACAGAATTGAACTTAACTTAACTTGACTTGACTTAATTTAACCTATAATAACCATCACCACACCAATAATGTACAACAAACCTGTAAATACATCTGACTCTATACTCTAGCAACTTGAGAACGCAAAGTTGACTCACTCTGTAATTTCATGGCATTCTTCTCATGGGCTGCATCCTTGCACCTTTGCAATGCTATACATAAATGGTCTTCCAAGAGACGGTGTTTTGCACAGAAATTACCCGAGCAGTGAGAACATGCTCCAACAATTCTCAAAGGGGTGGAGGAGCACAGTTGGAATGAGCACTTAGACTTCTTCTTCTTGCGATGGGAAGACGAAGAAGAAACAGAGGTACCCGTTGAAGCAGAGGCAGTAACATCACTTGTACTCATCAAAATTACGGTAGTCTCATTACAAGACATTCCACAGTCAGATAACAAACCATTTGAGGAATCTAATTTCGCTCCGTTAAAGATAAGTTTGAAGTCTTCGGGTAAAACGGAGTGTGAGGGGCATCCAGCAGTAGCTGCAGCTCTCAAATCCTCAACTGTAGCATTTTCATCAACTGTAACAACGTAGCTTGTTTCGGTGGTCAATCTGATGTTCACTCTCATGGTATATTTGGAGTGGTATCGGGAAAGCGGGGGCAGCAAATCACGTTTTCTGGTTTCCTATAAATGAACCAGTATTAGGAAAGTAGATTACTATAGGATATATCCGAAAGTAGGATACTTATACTTATAATATACTCAAGAATAGAGATAAAGAAAGTGGCGTCTATATAATTTTGAACAGACTCCTCCTAAGAAAGTACACTGGCCCATTGGCCGTGTAGTGATCATTTTGGGTTCACTGATTGTCATTGTACTGCGATTGTGGTGGCAACTCTTGTGCCAGAATCAGTTTCAGTCATGGCAATTTCACGGCGAGCATGGCCACGACCTTTGCTGTTTATAGGCGTAACTCTCGTTCTGGTGCGAGCTTTACATAGCTTAAAATAGTTCGGCTACGGGGCCGAAGAGGACTACAAGACGACTGTTTAAATAGTATTGTTATTCTATTTACTGTTGCTATGCATATGTATTAGCAGCCAAGCCACAGCCCACCTGAACTGCTTAATAAATTGTTCAAAAGTAGCTATTATGAGACGGCAGATAACAATTGAAATTGTGAGCGCTACCGACTGTTCATAATTTGGTCTTATGCTCTGCTATGATTAATCTCTTTGCCCCTTAAAAACTCTCCTCAAATTGAACAGAAAACAACAGATGATGCGCAAGCTCCCTATTTTCAATTTCGCAGTGTACCAGAAGTTATTATAGTGAACTGTCAATATTTTAAAACCTAGATACACACACCTTGGTTGTAGTTCCCTAGTCAAAACTCATTTTTTGGCCATAATTTGAAACTGAAGTTTAAACTACAAAGTACCCTTAGTGGTTGGGTACGTCGAACTTACTAAGGTGATTATCTATTAGCATAAGCCTATGAACTCTATCATATCAACTTTAGTATAATTATGCCCAAGTAAATGAAGTGCTAGCCAGACTTTACAGCGTCCGAAAAAAAAGAAAGAACAATTAGTAAACATCAAGTGAACTGTTGCCCCTTCAGAAGTTGGCAAGCCATAAGCCACTCAGGAAAAAAAAAACAAAAAATGCACTTCGGTGCTACCGTCATTTCTTGTAAGGAGAGAAGGATTTCTTGCGTAAGGAATTTGATGGAATGAGTGTGGGAAATTGGTTCCCTTGCCTTTTCGACAAGAATTTCACTGACTCCAATTCTGGTAGACAGTTGCCGATTTGCTATAAATAATCGGTCTGCAATTTATAGCTACTAACAACACAAGATGCTGAATGACTCATAATGCTGAAACCATATCAAAATAAATGCACTTGTAACAGGATGTCCACATCTACCCACTACTGTATACATACAAAAAATTGCGATGGTTTATAAAGTCTGTTTGAGTACAGTGTTTGGGAATACTATTTTACTTCATTGTAGTATTTGCAAAGTGAATTCGGTTAGAGGAGTTTTCTGGTTGTTACAGGAGTAATGAACCATTAGATCGCGACCTGTCACAAGAGAAACGTAGCTAGGAGTTTCAGATATTGAAAACTGAGAGGTACCCTAGTTGTTGCTGAAGGACTATCTTGGTTTACACTTTATCTAAATCTTTGTAACATAAATGGTTTAAGCAAGCATTAGAGTAAAAATCCAGTCAAGCTCTTTTTGGACAGAACAGGCAATGTAAAACCTATACATGATTTAAATACGAACTATCTACAATTTAGCTCTGGTATGGTAGCGAGACAGGAATTTTTTTTGGCCAAGTTTGAAGTGATAATATGAAAACAAACGTAAACTAGAAACAACAAAAAGGTTCAGAAAAAAAGGAAGAAAAACGACGTTTGGGGTGAAGGGAAATGTCGTAAGAATAGACATTTGTGAAGGTCCAAAGGAGGAATATGTGGTGTGTGGAGGATTATATGAGTGGACGAAGGTGAAAAAATGGCAAAGGAGAAGGTAAACAATTGAAGAAATTTTTTCGATGCTGTTGTGAGTGAGAGTAAGGGAAAAATAGACCCCTACACCTGGTCGTGCGCCTACCAAATATATGCAAAATAGCAAATTGAGAAGCTTGTAATTAGTTTTGGATATTGAATAGTGAAGCAGATATAGAGAAGGTGAATAGAAGTAGTATACATTGGCAAGCAACATATGGATAGTAAA